TTCCTCTCCAGATCTCAAAGTACCAACTGGTAGATCTACTTTAATATCATTACTTGCTCTCTTTATCTCACTATTTTACATTAGTTGCCAACTAATACAATTTTATCACCTAAACAAAAGAGACAAAGCAACATATAGCAATGGGGAAAATATAAATGGAAATACATGTAATAAAATAGAAATAGCTTACAGCAAATGAGAATAATACAAAGAACAGGCCATTTTCAACATTAGCTCCACATACTGATTCAGAAATCAGCCATGATAATGTCTTAAAACATATTCATGTATTTACCTTCCTTTAAAATTTATATGTAATGACAAAATGACACAATATTTTTTCCACAACAGTGTATGAATACATGTAGCTATAGTTTAAAAGCCTTATACTGTACATTATTTCAGGCATATTCATTAGATTATAAAACATCTACTTAAAACCTTGATTTTCATGATCATTTAGAGTCTGAACGTTAAGTCTGGATTTTTTTTATATCAAAATATATAATTTAATTTGCTGCAATATATTGAATGAAACTGACCCAACTATTAAAGGTGTGCACATGTATAGACTTTCATCATGACCGATGTTACATTTTACTGCTGGTTTTAGTATTCTAGGAAATAAAGTGCTTTGCTGCATGACTCAGTTTAAAGGGACTCTTCCAACCTTCAACTGAATGTAGTAAAAAGAAATGTCTGACCACTTCCTTTGTCATTAAGAAGCAAGACTAACCAGATAAAACAAAGAAAGACGTATTGGTCTGAGAGACAAAGATGGTGTTGTTGATTGAAAATGTTTTATTGTTCAGTGTTTTATCACTCGAGATCCTTTGATGTTTAAATCTTCAAGGCGAGCATTCTTCACTTCTGCAGGACCCTTTGGGCGATGTTTCTCTCTGAAAGAAATATTTTTTAATCATGTTAATATTCAGTAATATTACACCGTGAGAGGTCACCTGATGACCATTTTACATTCTCTCTACATTGTAGATGCTTTTTCTTTACAGATCACTCTATGCTTTATTTGGCCTTGGGATGCAGAAACTAGCAATTTGCTTTGCCTTCTTTACAGCTGTTTGCTTGGGAGATTTGTGAAATTGATCCAAATAAAGTTTTGAACCAATGTGCGCCTTCTCCACAGCTTTCAGCTGTTAAGGATGTTAAATGACAAAAGTCAACTTGCTGGAATCTGGATCCTAAGGTCTGGAGCTGGGAACTCCTGTTATATAACAAGAAGAAGAAAGAACCTTTCTTTTTCAGAATTTTCAGACACCTGTGTTAACTACCTTCTCCCTTCATCAGCTTTGCTGGCTATTGCTGCACGGTGAACGGTTCTCTGTTTAGGGGCTTCCAGGCGAGACAGAGGAACAGACGGCTTGAATTTGGAGACTTCCCTCTGCCATTCGTCATCAAATGACTGGGCTTCACCTGATAAGTGAAGGACAAAGATCAGGAATAACTCAGAATTCCACTGTTGTTGCCCTGCCCCTTAAGGAAAAAGAGGAACAACTTTAGATGCTCTATGATAACATTTATAAATCATTAAATAGAGATTTGTGAATTTGTTTGTTTTACGCAGACAAACAGGACTTCAAGTTGGGTGACCAGCAGGTGGCGCTGGTCAGAATGATCAAACCCATGGCTCAATCTGGGTGACACGGCCTACTGTGCTATGGAAGGTCCTGGTGGTTAGTTATTAAAGAACCCATGGGTGTCTGCAAAAAGAGGTGTGGCTGAATTCCACTGACTCCATTCCATTAACTCAACGGGCTAATCACCTTCTCACTTCTCCACACGATCTGTTGTGTAGTGGGGCCACACTTCAGTGGGAAACCACATGGGTGCATGTAAAACACTTCACTCTGAGATGGACAGTGTACACACGCAAGGAAATATTACTAATATTAATGACATCTTTATCTAATAAACAAGAGTTTACACCCACAAGCCGATGAGAGCTTGACTGCAGAAACGGAAGAGAACAGCAAAACGGAAACTTACTTTCATCTAAGTTGAGGAAGTCCTGATTCATTTCCCGTTCTCCTGTTTTCCTGTTTTGTTTCTGTTCAATGACATGTGCTCGATCGCGGATGTGATGTCCAATGGCCATCTTCTCCAACCCACTCTCAGAATCCTTCAGTGACTGTCGTGTCTCTTTAATCTGAATAAAAAAAGATTAAACCTAAACAGCTCAGAGAACTGGCAAGAGGCACGAGCTTGTCCAGGCTCTACCAGAACGATGGGACCGAATCACACAGCACAGCATCTGAAGGCTGGTGCTAAGCACGCATCACACTACAACTTGTGTTGCTTCCAGCAGTGGTCCCAAACACTACTAGCCTGTGGCTTTCACAGTACAAATTTCAAGGCAAATTTCAAATGTGTCGCAATCATGACAAATTTTTATCCGCATAATGAATTTACCTGTGAGGTGTGTCACAAACATGTTATAACAAAAAAGATTTTCCTGAGAACTCTGTGAATGTGTTGCAGGTTTTGTATGATGCTCAGTACATATACAAGTGGGTATCTAATGGTGAATGTTATCAAATGGTTGAAGTGAACAAACTGGGCACCGCCGCGGTACAGGACCTACCCCACCTGGAGCTCGGCGAGTTTGGTTGGTGGCCTGGAAGACTTTGGCTGGCTCATCCCCTACTTTGGAATAAGTCATGACTGAGGAGGAACTGAATGAGTGCACATTGGAGTCATTAGACAGGTTCTCCTGCCAAAAGAATCATAAAAACCCAGTCAGAATCAAATCTTTCAAATTAGATGAGTTACTTGCATGTTCTGTGCACATATCATACATACCTTAACTGAATGAAAACTAGTAGACCGTATGTACAACATTTTTTTTAAATGAGCTCTTCTCAGAATGCAAACCAAACAAACTGTTTAGAACTCTATTTGTATTTTTGGAGCACAAAACACATGAGTATTAACCATTACAATTTAAGAGAAATGCAAATGAGACACTAAAATAGATAAAAAGTACAAATAGTATACTACAGCATTATATAAGGAGGAATAATGTTAGTAAATAAGCCATAAGAACAGCTTAAGAACAACACTTACAAAATTCCTGTGCATTTCCACCACCCTGTTCCTCATGCTTGACATCATACTGTCCATCATGCTGAAAGGATTCCTTGCATCTGAAGCCTGTCAAAAGTGTCATTCATAATACATTGACATGTCACCATGAGCTATAAAAACACTCTTCTGAGGGGGGGTACAGTTTTTAAGGACCCTAACTTTAATGGGATCATAATGCTCCTCTCCTATAAGGTATTCTATGTTAAATGCTTATTCTTAAAGTGCCCTCCCCTTTAAAATAAGCATAGCAACCATTAAACAACAATAACTGTATTCTTACAGTGCAGAGTCAGTATTAACAGCAGTGGGCAGTCAGAATGCCAGCAGAAACTGCAGTGGGAGAGCTTCCAGTCAAACAGCAGTAAGCCACAGCCCTGAACGACATCCCACAGCATTTCCACATGGGTCACTGCCAGCACTGCAAATCTGCCAGAATGTCTCCAGCTGTGGCATCTCAGATACATGTCCAGTGGGGGCAAATTCTACAGCATCAATCACTTTATACTTGAGAGTGAATCCAGATTTCAGTGCAGGCCCACTTGATGAAAGATATGCATGCACACAAAGACACATAGTGTATACTTGTTTGCTTATATACTGTACGTATTGTACACATATATACGATAAACGCGTTTGTGATCAAGTCTTCATGGGGACTTCCCATTGACTCTCATTCTAATTTTATTTACTGCTTTATACTTAATGTTTTTCTGTTTTACTTCACTTTTTCCGTGTTTATTTTTTGCCATGCAACACCCCTTTTAACCTCGTCTTCGACCAACTCTCCTCCCAGTTAAAAACTCTGCTACGTCCAAAACAAGCTACTGCAGCTGCTCTTCACTTAATATCACAGCTACTGAAATGTTTGCTAAAAGAGTGTACAGCTACCATATGGTTAATAAATTATATAAACGTCCTTCCTATCAGAGGACAATGAATATGTGTTGCTTAAATAGGATGTAATGAATACTCAGTGACAGCTAATGGCATTTTAAAAGTGAACATGTTTTTATAAAATAAACACTGAAAACACACTTTATACTCTAATAAAATTACACTGTATACAGGTAGAAAGCAGACCTGAAAGAACACTATTACATTTAAAAGTAGATACCATTAGATGTATGGTATAAAAATAGTCATATTCATTGCAGACAACAGTATCACAGTGATAATACATTAACACACACATAACGCTTTCTTCACATCGACATGCAGGAGAATTAAGACTGAATATCATTGTCAGTTGCTAAAATCACTCAAGCCATAATAAAATATGTGCCACCTAAAGGGTCGTTATACATAGTTCAGCTATGGAGATCACAGGGGACTGCACTGAAAAACAAACATGCTTCAGGTCGGTAGAATGCTTCAAGGCATGCTTTAAATGTCCACCATGCAGTGGTGCATGCAGCAATACTGACCGAACTGCTGAAGCTGCCAAAGGGCATAAGAGACTGGCTCATACCCTAAGAAATAAGGCATATAAATTACTATTTTGCTGTTCTAAAATGTCACATTTTCCATTCTTTCGTGCTTTTTTAAAAAGGGAAGTGATTTATTTAAAACGTCAATATTGTACCATTCAAATACATTTTAATTCTATTGAATTTTTACTGCAGTACATTACAAGTGTAGGCGGGTATTGTGCAATCTAAAATACTGAAAAAAAAAGACTGGGCACATTGTTTAAAAATACTTTTTACAAGCGGCAGTAGACAGTACAATACAAAACCACTTTTAACTTCCATACCCTGTATGGCTTTTGTTTTTTAAAGTCAAACAATGTTTAGTAAATCCCGTTTTTGGATGAAATTATGAAAGATATGCTTTACAACTGGGTGTTTATGGAAAGCACAGCCAACCTGAGCATCTGTAATCTACAGGTGGTAAGGAACCAAGACATATGATCCAGCTTAACTCCATTTAGATAACGACATAAGAGTCAATTACTGGGCCGTAACAAATAATACCCTCTCATCATTAATTTGTATCCAGTACTGAGGATTATTGTAGGATTTAGCCGTGAAATATATCCATGTTCCAGGAATGATTTCGAGATCCAGCAGGATAGGCCACTCCAAGCTACAGTGTCAGCAGTTTTGAAAAGGTCATACTAAAGTAAAACTATCAACTCTTATGGAAGTGTCTATGGACTAATAAAGCCCATGAGGAAATTTATATTTCTGTTCATGCCATATTTTTAGATGGGGTTAAAAGTGCAAAATCCAATGCATCAATGGCATGATCTTTAACACATTATTTTAAGTGCTCCAAGCCTTCGGCTCCTTTTGCTATGGTAACTAAATATCATATCAATATCAAGTTTTTGATTGCCTTGCTATGCAAAAAACTTGGAACACACAGTTCTCCTAACACTGAACTCTCAAAAAGAACAAAGCTGTGATTCCCTGGTTGAAATTAAACAGAACGTGTTTTTTTTTTTGTGCCTTTTTTTCTCCTGTTTTTTTGTTAACTGCTACGGCATATTTTTAAACAAAAAAGAAATCGCTCATGCTTCTGATTTTTGATTTTGAGCTGGCACTTCAGCTCAAGTATCAAAACATAGGTAGGGGAATTACGGTAGACGAAGTGATTTCTTTAAAAGCTGCAGTTTTTTTTTTGCTTTACTCCAATTCAAATTTTGTGTCTTCCCAGCACATTGCAAGATGGATGGTAATGAAACATCTTTTACCCTTGTGCTATCAGTGAAAGATGTCAAACAAGTGAGTGGATCTGAAAGAGGGACAGACAAACGCCCCGAGGCCCTCATGACCTCGGAATGGAAGACTACCAAAAGGACCTTGTGAATGAAGATGTACTATACCAGATGATTCAGCTCATTTCCTAATTTGAGTGTTTATAATTGAATATGTTTAATATTGTATTTCTACATTGTGAAGAGCAGAACAATTATATAAAGGAAACAAAGCTATACTACTAATGACACCTTCCACTGTGTACTGTCCAAGAACAAATTTATAAAGTGAATGTGTCAAATTTAATGTAATTCCAAAAAATGTTTACGATTTCAATAAAGACAAAATTCAAAAATAAAAGACTGTAATAAACATAACAATCACTTAATAGACCTCAATATTTTTGTAGAACGCATTTTCCTGTTCTTTACTGTAAAACATTTGATGTCTTCTGACTATAGCATCTCAGCTTGCTTCTGCGAAAAAAAAGGTCATGGGTCTATGAACAGACTGGCATTTGATGAAAGCAATTACTGGGGATAAATATACACTACACAGAGAGGAGGCAGATTAGTACTTGATAGTTGAGGAGAATGCAAAACCTATGTTTAGCACTTCTGGGCTTTTTAAAACACTGCCAGCTGGTTATCATAAGACCCTTTGCTGGAAGGTGTCTTCAGGCAACACAAGAATGAAACCTTCATGGAATCAAAGTTGAGTTTGTCTCTCAGACACAAGCCTTGCTCTTCTTTAGGCTTACAGCATGTAAGACCCATTTTCTATCCTTCTTTAAAAAGAAGGCAGGATATTGGTAAATAGATAAAAGGCACTCTTTGCACATTAAATTCCTTTCCAGCAACCTAGGAAGCTGCAGGCTGCACAGCTTGTGACTGTTCAATGTTCACCAATACTTTTTTGCCTGTGAAATTGTCCTCCTCACTATGAGAATCACCACTGCCAAGAAAACAGTATGTATTCATGAGGAAACAAATTAGTTAAACAGAAGAAAACAAAATGGAAGAACAATTGGAAGAAACATTTTAATAAGAATACTGTCAGCAGAACAATGCAGCTCTCGGCTTCTATAAATACATCCAGCTAAAGATAACTCTGATCTTAGACGAGCTGGGTGTTGAGCAGCAACCTTCTCTGACCCCTAGATGACAGACTTTTGTGTTCAATAAGGCCTATAAACCACTTCTACTATTAGGTTACAGGGTACAGCAATTACTCTCCTTGTCCTATTTTCTTTTTGTGTGACCCAAGAACTCTGCTTCATGTAACATTCTTTTAAAAAGAGAGAAAGTGCAAGCATTAGACATTTCACAGTAAAGAGAAGGCAATGAGTCAAGAAAATACTGAAATAACAATACTTCTGTATCCTATGTGTACTTTTCTGTCTATGGCAGATCAAATACACTTTTATTTACACTTTTTACAGAGGAAAATTATGCCTGACATTTATAACATGGACAAGGCAGCTTTTGTAAAGAGTAACTATCAACATTTATCATAATAGGCATGCCTTGGAACTCTCTTCAACTGCTACATTTTAATGTGCAAAAATAAGAAGATGAAATGTTTTCTGTCTTCTCCAAAGCATTTTATTTTAAACAAATTAAACTACTACTAGGGTATTAATTAAAAAAAAAAACTAAAGAAGCCTTTTAATGTCATAATTCATGTGATTAAGATTGTGACTGAGAACAGAATGCATTGATAAACCCAATACCATTATCCAGGGATGCGAGCTGGCTCAGGTGTCATGTATTACTGAGTAACTCCAAAAAGGACGTTTTGAGATTACTAGCGGCCAGAGTTCTCAGATTTCTCCCTGACACATTTGATAAGGAGTTTATGAAGGCACAGGTGTCATGTGTCATGTGAATCAGTCTCTATAAAAATAGGAACACGTTTAATTCCACACTAAAAAAATCAAAGGGAGAAACAACATTTTGGCTGTTGAGCCTTCTTGGTGTGTCAGGTGTGAGAAGAAGGCAGGACGGCCGAAACGTTGCATTTCTCCTGTTTTTAACGGGGTGAAATTAACATTTACTTCTTCCTTTGCAGCCAGCGCATGTTGACACAACTCCTCAGTCGACCTACAAAAAACAGCCACGTTTTGAGAAACAAAAACAAGTCTCAGACGTTCCCATTTCACCTTATTTTGGGCAACACATCAGTCGGTAAGAGCTACTGCACACATCTGACAGTAGCTGTTACAGTCCTCTCAGAGCATCTATGAGGAGGCTGTAGTATTTGATTTGATATACATAATCCCTACAACGTGACAAAGGATTTGAGGAAACGTGGAGCGTGCTGAACGAGGCACTGTCGTAGTGTGTACAACTTGAGCTGCTACTGAAGCTCTTACCCTGTGTCCCTCTCTTAATGCCATGCTGGCGTTCAGGTTCCCCCTCTGATTTCCGGTTGTCCCATCAGCGATACTCAGGAAAGGGTCTCTGCCGAAGGGCTCGGAGAAACTCCTCATCATCTGCCGCACATGTTCATTGTGTGCTCGGAATGGATCGCTATAGGGGCAAAAGAAAAACGGTAATGTCTACATCTGCATTTAAGATCAAATTAGAAAATGAAAACCCTTAAGGGCCGCACTAAAGTGTGATTACTACTAAACTCTCCTACACGGCACTCATTTACATAAGATATTAAGTACAGATAATTAACTGGGCAGACTGGGAAACTGCGTGGAAGTCAGCTTCTTGTCCTGTGGCCTCAAGTCTGAGAAACGTTCAGTACTGAGCCAGGGAAAGTAACTGCCAATTCATGAGAACGTGTAGAATCTAACAAGTATGAGTGCATAAATAACACAACACTTATGCACTAGTTACATGTTTAGTAGTATCTGTTACTGAAATCTATATAAACAGCTTTCACGAGAACACTTAAGAAAGACAACGCCGTTTTAAGTATGATTCTTTCATTGTAGTCGAGGTATAAGTATAAAAACATGTAAGCCTATTTTTCAGACTGATTTTGCAAACCTTTCCACAAATCACTGATCAAATAGCTGAATACATAAAAGCTTTTGCTGAAGGCATTACTAAGCAGCATGGCTGATGCAGGGAAATAACACTCTGAAAGAAATAAAACTGGAGCACATTATTCTGTTGTTATCAAGTGTACAAATCAGCTTCAATACACAAAGCGAAATTCCAGAACTGTGATTATTTATACAGTAAGATAGTAACACAACCAAAGGGCTTGGCAAGTAAAATCACAAGTAGCGTACTTGTTGATAAATATCTCAGACAGTGTTTATTGATTAAAATGCAACAATCACAAGGTTAATAATTTGTCATGAGAAACACAGGAATCCAAGTATGTTCTAAGTATAGAAATCAATAAATAAACAGGGACTCAACTAGGGGGTTTGAAGAATCACATGGCATTCTTTAATGAAGTACTGTACATACCACCGGTAGTTAAACAGTCATGTTGTTTTGTTACTCTTTACTGTATATCTAAGACGGTTGGACAAAAATAAATCCACATCACAAAGCACCTCACTACAGTCACTGTTTTTCAGACGCAATCCCTCCATATCATTTTGGAAGCAGTTTATCAAGAAAGTAAGATTATACGAGATCTCAAGTATGTACTGTATGCACTTTGTATGCATTTTGTATGCATTTTATTTCAAAACAATAATAAATCTCTACAGCTAGTGCCACAGCTTTTGCCATTGTATTCAATATTTAGTACAAAAGTTAACAATCTAGCAGCAGTTGTTAGCCAGTAGAGAAAAACTCCCTCAAACAACCAGATTCCGAGCTGTGAAAACACATCTCTTGACCACCCCTCCCCCAAGGAGTGATTTCAATAAGAGTCTTATCCTACATCACACTGCTCAAGAGAGCAGGTGTGCCACAATACTAGTAACCAGACTGTGCTTATTTAGGGGAATATGGTAACATGTAAAGACTATGCCATGATCTCATACACAAGAAAAGATGGAGTAATATATTATTATATGACGGATATATTACGGGGCAGTGAATCAAGAGTTCTAGGTTCACATCTGGATCGTCCGTGTGAAGTCTACATGTTGTCTTCTAGTTCATGTGGGTTTTCTAGTTCTATTTGGCCTCTGTATGTTCTGTGGTGGCCTGGAGTCCTGTTCATGGTCCAGTCCCGTCTAAAGTCCTGCACCTACCAGGGAGGTTTTCCCTGACCATCTAAGGATAAAGCAATAATAAGCAATAAAAGGACAGGTGAAAGGATATACTGTACTGTACAATATTCGTGTTTACTGACTGTAATACCCACAAGTGTGGCAAAATGTTAATGAGCCACTAAAAAAACATGTTGAATTTCAAAACCTGTGTGTTTGTAGGCATTGATCTAGAATTACTGTTGCGCATAAATGTCAAATTTAATCTGAAATAATGCACGTCAAAAAAAAAGTTTGATATCGATTTAAAACAAACTACATTGGCAAAATCTCCTAAAAAATCCCTATCCTTTTATAAAAGTTGTGCTCCTTCCTACTTGCGTCTTTTCGGCATACATAATTGCGTGCATTTTCGAGGTAAACACTGAAATCAAACAACCTTTAGCTGCAACTGCGGAGTGTGCACTGTGGAAAGCCTGAAGCTGATGGGGATTCTTTAATGGTTGAGCATGGGCACTGAAATTCTTTAAAACTGTAAGCGTTCTGCTAGAAATGATGCAGACTATTCCAAAACTACTCGCTAAACAAATCTGTCATGAGTTCAAAGCCACGTGGGCGCTTATAAAAATAATATCAGCTAGTTTTATTTATTTTTTTTAAAGTCCATTCGAGAGAACGTGAAACCCACACAAATCCTCAGAGGGAAGTATGCAGGGATCAGCAATCTTATTTCAGATGTAACCCGGGGCCCCATGTCCCTCCCAAGTCATTGAAAGGCCTTGCCTAGCATGTTGCATAGTTACGCCAAAAATACTGCAAGAATCCGGCGTGTGAAGCCCGACAGCAATAATGTTTAACTTGTTCTGTTTGTTCCCCCAAATGTAGAGCGCAAATCCAGCTCCTTGACACCTTGTGCATGGAGCGCTGGTTTTACTTAATTGAAGACAAAAACGACAGATTTTTTATCTTCAGAAACAAACTTAAAAACTCGCTTTAAACGAAGCCAATAATTCAATAAGCATGCATGCACTTGTCTTGCTTCATTCTGCGCTTTTTCGTCCTTAACAACAAAAATGTAAGAAGCATTTAAACTATGCATTGCCAGTAGAGTAGAATTATTTTGCAGTTACAAATACACAATACTTATCTCAAAATGACCTTTTTTCAATTTTTTAATTGATGTACTCTATAAAGCACTAGACCTCAATACACGTTTACAGAATGAAATCTCTCTCTAAAAAAAAGTCGCAGTAGCCTGAAAGTCGCTTACGCAAAGAATGGATCTTCCTCAAATTCCCTGAGAGTGCTGTTGAACATTTCCGATCCGGGCTGTCGAAGACACAAGACACAGACGACTGACCTGACCTAAACCTAAATTAGCGTGCCAAACTTATCCGCTGCTTCAGGTCGACGAGCGCACCAGCCTTGAGTACATCAGAGAACCGCAGACGCCAACCGCAGACACGTGACTGCTCTCCGGCCCCCTGATTGGCCAGTTATTCTCAGAATTTACTAGAGCGCTGCAAACGCGCAGCTCTCTTAATAGAAGGGCAATGTTGTGGACCGTTGCTATAGCAGCGCAGGCTTATGGCAAAATCTAGAAATCAAGCATTTTTCTCCCGCCAGACGTCAAGTGTGATTTGTTTTCGATTGAATAAAGGTCTTGTATGTGCACAACTACATTTTGCTTCAAATCACAAACTTTTACCGTAAGCAAAATGTAAAATTTGCTACATTTACTGAGAAGAATTAAGTTTTTGCTACATCTTTGCAAAGAATCAACACTCACTTGAGGTGCAATCTAAATTTCTCTGTCTGACTTTGGTGCGTTTAAAAAAAAGGAATGTGGGCAAATATTAACATAACCATAAGTATTTGATTCCTGCACAAGGTAGTGTTATTCCATCAGGAGTACTGGATTTAAAAAAGTTGATCCATAGACTATAGAACTGTTGCTCAACTGGGAAGAAAACTACATTCCAGTCCACCACTTACAGCAAGAACCTGGAATTCTCTGGAGGCTCCAAAATGCCAGCAAAAGGGCCCCAGTATGCTCACCACACACCAGCTATCAGTGGGGAGGAAAACAGAGTGATGAAGCCAGGTCAGAGATGGGGATTATTAGGAGGCCATGACACCAGTGTTTACACACCTCCTCCTTTCAGGAAATGCACTGGGAGTTTTAAAGACCACTGAGAGTCAGGACCTCAGTTTTATGTTGCCTTTTTAGAGTTTAGTGACCGGGTCGATAGGACTCACACAGACCACAGTGTGAGCACCCCCTACTGGCTCCACTAACACCTCTTCCAGCAGCAGCCTTGCCTTTCTCCCCTCCAGGTACTGACCAGGCTCACACCTGCTGAGCTTCAGCAGGCTGCCAGTTGTGAGTTGCAGTTTGATGTTGCTGCTGGCATTCATGCCCATTTGTTTGGAATGATAACTAAGAAAATAAATTCCATCTCTTCTTTCTGATTTCTACTTTCCTACCTTGCATGTACCTTTCAACCATTTCCTCCAGCTGTTCCTGTGTCAGCACTGTGTTTAAAGAGTGAATTATGAGAAACTGCCCCTTCTGAACATGAACACCTCTCAGGACACCTGTGGCACATTCGTTCAGAATGCACCAATTTCTTTAATACGTGTATTGCAAATGTCTAAGCTGTAAGAAATGTTAACTGTTAATAGACGAAGAGCCGGTAAGAAATCATGAGACTATAATCCACTTTCAAAGGGATTTTGATTCAGCCGTGAAGAAGAAACTGGTCAACAGAGGGCTATGCTCCAGGGTTTCCCACGGTCTGCTAGCTTCCAATCCAGCTGGCCTGTCAGTGGCTTAAATGAACCCTAAATGGAATTAATGATATGACTAATTAGATCTTTTTAATCATTTTATGCTCCAAAACTGTTTTCAAGTTACTTCAAGTCCAGAACTTAAACAATGACAAATGCTGTGTGTTAAATGTGTAATGCATATAACTTGCATTAGGGGTTCAAGTAAAGGATGCTAATTTGAGACAAAATCCGGCAGAGGATTGGGTCATGAAGTCCTGTACTGCACATCTTTTCCTATATGGTATTAGAATGCTAGAAAATTCTGGTATCATAGGTAAACTAAGATTGCACAACCTTACATTTTAAATACAACCTCCAGTTCAATGAAGCTAGACATGGAAATTAATAAATGGCAAAAAAAGTCAAGCTTGAAATGATGTGCAGAAAACAAACATCAAAGTTAAATTTGATTTTCAACAAATGTGATCCACTCTGGATCTGAGCGACAGTCTGGTTCTTAATATGTTGCACATAAAAACAAAAACCTTAGTTTTGGAAAAACTAGATTCCCCGGGTTTGGATCTGCGGGTGTAATTTAAACTAAATTTCAATTTGCAATAATGAGTTTTATTCAGTAATTTCAAAATAATCACAAACACCACAAGAAAATCTAAGAAGGGTACCTTCTGTGTTATTTTTTATTTCTAAATTACAAGGTGAGAAATGAACTTATACAAAAGAAAAATACACATAATTTAAGAAAACGCATTCGGGATCTTGAAAATGAATGCTGTTGCACTTCAAAAGCACGCGGAAATATTGCCAGGTTTCAATAACACAGTATCATCAAGGGTTCAGGGCACAGGGCTGCCCATCAGCCTCTCCTGGCGAAGGGACATCAGTCTGTAGAGCCACATCTCCTCTGCTTCCGCCTTGTCAATGAACAGCTGCAGGAGGGGGAGAAAGAGAAGAGCTCAAGTTAACACCGCTGCTAAACCCTGCTCCAGCACTGTGGCAGTCTCAGTGTGACAGACTTCAGCTTGGTAGACCTGCAGTGGCCAATACTTTTCTCGGAGAGCCACAATCCAGCACATTTTATGGGTCACCCCTTCCATTCTGAACTCCTCAACACGTGATGCAGTTTCATCTGAACCACTCAAGTAGGCGATCAGTTCAACTAAGTGGATCAGAGACTACGTGAGATGAAAATGACCACATCTAGTCCCTCCAAAGCTATACAGCTGGCCACTTTTTACACATGGAGGATGTTAAGGTGACTGAAAAGACCTGTTGGATTGTGGTTCTCCACTGCATGAAACCTACACTGAGTTTTCTGAGGCTGGGACAGTTCCTAGCAATAGTGGACACTTTTTTAAATAACACTTGCACCACGGACAAACCATTCAGAACATTTGTTAAGATGGAAGGGGGGGTTCGGAGGCACTGTGGCTAAGGATCTGTGCCTGTGGCTGGAAGGTTGCCGGTTCAAATCCCGTGGCCGGCAGAGGAATCCTACTCCATTGGGCCCCTGAGCAAGGCCCTTAACCCCAGCTGCTCCAGGGGCGCTGTATAAATGGCTGACCCTGCACTCTGACCCCAAGGTTCTCTCTCCCCACATCTGTGTGCCTGTGTCTCTCATGGAGAGAAAGCTGGGGTATGCGAAGAGACAAATTCCTAATGGAAGAAATTGTATATGGCCAATAAAATGATCTCTCTGATCTCTTCTCTCAGTACATTCTCTCATCCATTCAGGTGGAAATGGCACCTTTGCATCCTTCCTTCAAGGATGCAGTGGGATCCAGCCTTGATACAATGTTTTTTCTGTGTATCCTCCAGCACAGACACTGCTACACTCCAACCACAGAGAAGCTGCCGAGCCCGGCTTTAGCTGTAGGCATTAATATCTGCTGTAGGCATCTGTGTACTAGAAATCTGAACTGTGGCTGACACCTGCTGATATTAAATAGGCAATTCCACAACAAAATCACAATCTATGAACTTTCCCTTGCAATTTAACAACTTAAACACAACCCGAAAAATTGATGAAATGTTGCATTAATTTATTAGCAGTGAACTGTGCACATGGTTTAAAGCAGCGCAATGGTGAACAGCTGGTTCATGTCCTGCATCATCGACAGCTGTTCGTTTAGAACCAAACATAGATGCATTTGTACAGGACTACATGAAAGCTATGGGAGTGATTGCTACATTTCAAAAGGCAGCAATTGCACTCCAGTTGATAGAAGTACAGTATACAGGGTTTAGGATTACACAGCTCCCAAGAGGCAATGCCATTCAAACTCGAAGGCAATAGCTTTAAGTGAGCACAGCGGCTCAGTGGTTAGTGTTGCAGCCTCGTAGCTCCAGGGCCCATGCCGTAGCTCCAAGTCTGGCCTCAGGCATTTGTCTGTGTGGAGCTTGCATGTGTTCTCACCACAAAAGCCCCCACTGGGCGTTCTGCTCCCCTCCCGCATCACATACATAAGCAGGCCAAGTTTTAATCACTTTTCTAAACTGTCCTTTGTAGCAATGATACACTCAGCAGGGATCTTACAACCATTTTTCAGGATCACAGTAAACTTGTGGGAAACTTCCCTGAGGTTTCTATTGCCTTTCCATGAATTCAAGCTCTCAGATTTTAAATTTGCATTGGGGAGCTCTTGCATTGAGCTCTTGGAATTGGGAAGATCAGTATACTCAAATCACAGAGCTGTAAAAGAATTTGAAGGCACATGGCAGAATTTTCTTGTCAGAATTGAACACTGATTACACTAATTTTAAAGGGCAGATTTAAAACACCTCCAGCTCAAAACCTCCACCTTGTACTAACAGTCTGGGAGTGATATTGTATATAATGAATTAAAATGCATCAAGAAATTCAATTGCACCCTTTCTGTACTACCTCTTTTGTATGTGCTAAACCTCTCACTGGATAAGTCAAGTGGCTGTAAAATGTATCATGTGGCTGATGACTGCTGGAGAGAGCTCTGACTAGGAACCACAAGTATATTTAAAAAAATGCTTTTAATATTGAAATACTTATACACAGCATTTAAAATAAATGCATGTTAGCAATTATTGAACGTGACCTGCCTTTTGAAGTTTGAAATATACGTTTAATGTTAAAATGCTTTTGTCTGTATATGAAGATGTTTTATCATTTTATAGAAATGAGTCTTATTGAGAATGAACTAAGTCATAGATGAATAGTTTGGCCAAAATAATTGTGTTTTACATATTCAATTTACGGTCTCCAACATTTCACACATGTATATTTTGGTTCAAAGAAACACCTTGAAGCATATTATTTATTTTCTATAGGAAAAGGTGAAATCTAAACTGAAAGATATTATGTCAACTGTCAATATGCATACTTTACAAATTTGAAATGATGAATACAACATAGCACGTTTTGCTACCAGAAAGTGCCACACATGCACAGATTCAGTATATGTGCTTTACATATAAAAAGGATATAGCATATAAAAACACAAAATAAACCATAAAATTAAAATTGCAGTGCATGAGTGAAATTATTTAATTATTATCCAAACTTCTCCTCCCTCTCCCTTAATATATTGCTCACATAGATCACATGTAACTAAATTTTAAAACATTAAAACATCCACTCTGCTTCGTATGACTTTGGCTTTATTGAAAATGTCTGGTGATCTCACAGCCCATTGCATTTCATCCAAGAACATTCTACAGATGACAAGAGATACTTTATTTACACATTATTTAAATACATTGATACTCTAATTATTTACACTAGATAATGTTAAAAAGCAAACAATGTTTACATGTGCCAAAGTGTTGTTTATCTACCCATATGTACTGTATATCGAGAGGGTTCAGTAAAAGATGAGCACTTTTCCAGTTTGCCCTTAGCACTACTCTACCCAAGCCTGTGATACAAATACAGTTTGTGGGCTGTATAACGTGGAGGAGCTTGAAGCTTCTGCACAGAACTGTAGTGAAATATGTAGGGACTCATGAGAAGTTTGAAAACCTATAAAAAGTACAGGACACGCCTCCTCAACATCATCAAAATCAAAGAGGAGGTTCACAAAATACAGAGGGAAAGAATAAATTGGAACATTGTGCATTTAAAACTAAATATAACTTTTTCCCCCCCAGATATTCTCTATATGCATACAATATTGAAATGCAAACAGGTTTTTACTTTTTGATTTGTCTGTACCAAACATATCAATGTACATCTGGATTTTTGCACTAAATTGACATTTAGGTGCAGTTCATCAGGGGTCTGAATAATAATTCAACAGCTGTATACTGTGTATGTTGCTCATTTCAGTTTGATAGGTTAAATGCGTGGATTTAACCCTAATATAGACCCATCTGATGCATCTACTCACATTGGGATGAGCCAGGGAGTCATTCTCCTGGTACCGGATTGATGTAGGGATGCTGCTGACTTCGTGCTGCTCACTTTCCAGCCTGGGCAGGTCCACTGATTCGGGGTCTTGCTTGATTTCTACAGTTTCAACCACCTGTGCAAAAACAGCAATAAACAGTAGTGTTTTAGATTATGAATATATTAATATTGTACAATAATGTACTATATGTGAGTTATATTATAAAACCATAATATACTGTGCTACGATATTAATATAGTATTAGATTAAAAACATACTATATTATTTTACAGGCATCATAAACTTGGTTAATGGGTTAATCCAATTCCCAGTTCTTCATTTTTTCCCCCAAGAGTCACCAGAGCCCATCCTATATTTTTCCTTGCATAAATGTATTGCTTTATTCTCTTGACCTGCTATTTCTGATTATTGTATATTTCACATAACTATAGATCATTTTAAGAATTGTATATTATATATATATACTCTAAAATAGTTTGATAAAGAGCACAATATTATTTTTGACAATAAAAACATAAAATATGAATTTAATGTGTAATCCAACATCATGCTGTTTGTTATCCTTGAGGTGGCAGTATAAGCAAAGACCACTTCACTTCCTGATCAAACACTGACCCATGCAGTAAACATACGGCATTTCCAATTTCACAAAAGCAGTTCAAGGGGTACTAATGAAACCTCATTCTACTATAGTGATATTACTGTAAGAAAATCTAATATTAAATGTAAGAAAATTACTCTGATTGAAACTGCTTGTTCTAACTGCTTAGTCATAAAATGTTTTCCTGGTACGTACTGTACACTGTGGTCTTAAAATGTGCATTTAAGCCTGGAAGAAAAAGTACTCACTTCACAATCAGCAGCTTGTTTAATGGCTCTGGATGAGACATTAACCTATTACAGAGACATGTAATTCCAATAATGGATATATTGTATACCTAGAGCACTTCTACATTTGTTTCCATTCCAGTTTAAACTCGATGGAACAATGAACAAAAAAGGAGGATATAAGAACTATTTTCTGTAATTTTAAAGATGACTTGAAAATGTAAAAGTAGTTCCATACTCTTTCAAGTGTTTGGATTGCAACATTAAAGCCATTTCAGTCTTTTTGTGTCTATTGTGATCTGGAAAACATTCAAACCAAAAATTCATTTTGTCGGGAGACAGATGAAACGGAAGAAAATAAAAACGGAAAATCCTTACCTTCTTACTGTCTCTACTTGATTTGAAAGCCTGCGCAACAAAAGAGTCACTTTCAATGGCTTCAATGGCTTTTATTCTTTTTACCTGGTCGGGCAGGGATGTGTCTTCTAAAAAGGAAATAAAAGAAATAAAATCCTGACTTCAGGTATGCTTTATGCTTCAGCAATCCTACTGATATGGGAGAATTTGATTTATGACAGATGTAGAATGTTAAGGAAGGAAACAACAGTACATATTTCTCATGTGATGGCTATGGTTTTAAATCATCTTGTGTTTTCTTTTTTCAAATCTACTTGTCTCCAGCACAAAACAACATTTTGTCAGGGTTCTGAGAATATGAGTATATGAATATGACAATATGAGAAACATATATGTACAACAATGTGTTGCAAGGTGTACAAAAAACAAGCAAGAACAAAACATTGATGGGGTAAGTACGGAAAACATTAAATATCCTAAAAATACTGTAAAAGATTAGTTGATGGCCTATGAAGGTGAGTGTGATGAATATTTTTGACGCATAATTTCCACAAGAGGGCAGTGTGGACAAGCTGCAGTTAAACGCAGGTCATTTGGCACCAGGCATTCTCCTGTACTCCACAAAGACAACATAGAGCAAGAGTATACAATAGACTTAAAAACCGTGAACAGATGTTATCACTTCAGAAGGTTAGTCCCCTGCATGGACTATTGCTTCATCATGACATATGGGTACAAAAATACATAAGGCTCAACTGAAAGAATGACCTCTCTTCTATTCTTTGCACATGGATGTTTAGAGTCTCCAGCACCTAACAGCTTACCTGTATGTATAACCTCAAAGACCTGAAAATCCCTGGGCCTTTTGTGCGATATGCATGTGGTATGCTGGACTGAATATCACAACAGGAGCGAAGTGAATGTTTTTGTTTTCCTCTCCTAACAAGTTTTGTTGCTATACAGAATGACTGGGATTCCACTATGGTCAGAAACAAAACAAGCCCAGGGGACCAGTGGTGGAGAAATGAGACCATGGAGTTCAGTGAAAGAATGCCCCAGTCATATACTATACAACCTTTAGTTCTGGGCTTTAACTCAGTTGAGGAATTACAAATGATCATGAAAATCCTGATCCTCACATCATCAATAATCTTTTAAAAAGTATACATCACATATATAATAAGAGCATGTCTCTCATAAGTGTATTAAGGTATAAGAGTGATGTTAAGATTTCCAGCAGCTCATATTTTAAGATTATTGTTTTTTGTAAAAGAATATCAATTCTAAATATGGACAAACATAACTTGTTAAATGTCCTACAGAGAAGCGCCACACATTTCATTTGCTGATAATGAGTAGAATTAATTTGATCTATTAACTGCCTGCAAGCAACTGTCAGAAAAGATTTTCATATAGCGAATGTTTAATGAATAAATGAATATTTGTTCCGGTTTCATTTGGTTAGCAGAGAAGCACATTTTCCACATACACTGATTTCTCTATTTTTCTGTTCCACAGCTGAATATACATTTTTATGAGCTTTTACACAAAAACAAAGATGAAAAAATGTGTAAGCTAGAATTCACAATTGACCAACAACTAAAACATATGTTCTTTAGTACAATAGGTACTCCTTTAAAATTAGAAAAAAAAGACTTTTTGTTATGATCAAAAGAATTATGTAGAATTTGTGATTAGCATTAAGTGTTCATACAATATTATTAAGAAAGTGAAGCTGTCCTTCACATGCCATAGTTCAACTCATTGTCTAGAACTTAATGCATCCACAGTCAGAGATACCTTTCAATCAGTCATCTATTAATATTGCACATAAACCACCATAAAGAGATCCTTAATGACAAGCAACATGAAATTACTGGAAAAACATCTCAAAAGAAATCTATTGAGATATATCAATGACAAGTCCATGGCAAAAAGTGGATGGTTAGGAAGAGAAATCCATTAATGCCTCATACTTTTTGACAAACACATTATTGGTAGATAAAATGACTTCCATATGCTGTTTGTCAGATGTCAGTGGAAAGGATATGTATTTCATAGGAAAATCAAAAATAATGGACTTTGAGAGACCCAGATAGCTACAGACGGAGGAAAATCAATACTAACTCTGTGGACAGCAAATGCTCCTTACAAAGCTTTAAGTAAAGAGGTCAAAGTTGATATTTAATATTGACACATTATCCTGAAAATTAATTTACCAGCCAAATAAATTGCCACCATATTATTTAGGCCCTCCTTGTCTACACTAGAGGTAACATCTCTAACAAGCCAGCAGGGTTGGATTGTGTTATAAGTTCAAGTTCAAGTAAAGACACCTCAAATGAAGTACAGATTTTTCTTTATTTATAAAAAAATAATGAGAACGTGCTGCACTATGTGACAGACAGATATTTAGACATACAAGTAACCAGGTCTCTTACATGTTAAAAACAGCAGGTGTAACCCAAAGAGAAATCTGGCAAAACATCAGGGCTTACACAAACACAGCTGTGTCTGGCAGCGTCACCGTGTGCTCCAGGCTGGGCCTGTTGTAGATGGTCATGCACAGGCCTCATAGTGATGCTGTGGGCACAGCATAGCCATTGGAAAACTCTGAATCTCTGTCTTCATCTCTCAATATATACCCAAAATAAAGAAGGTCCGGGGTTGAAATCACCCTTACTTGCTATCCAGACCTCTAGCGCCAATGGCAGCATATTGTAGGGAAAAATTGATGTGAACCTCCCGTGTGTAAAGGGTCCTTGACATATCTCCCCTTTCCACAAAACCTGCAGGATGTATTTACACTTACTGCCAAATTATTTTGATGTGCTTGCGTTTCAAACAAAATGTTGATTTCTCTTAAGAAATGTTCCCTTAGAATGAACCATGTGAAATAAAATGATAGCTCTAATAGACTCAGATAGCAATCAAATTTGTGAACCTGTAATCAATAGCTTATTGCCCAGTCTAAACAGTTGTTTATCCTCTGTATTGATCAGGAAAAGGGCATTAACTGAAACATCCTTAGTAAACAATTTAAATCCCCTCCACAGTTGAAATACCAGCATGCAAACAGCAGAGGGTGTCCTTTAATCAGCCACCAATTAGAGGCAATTGTAAATCTACAAACTTGAATTTAGTGAAGGATTCTGGACCTTTTAAACAATACACATCCAGTAGACTGCCAATTGCTTCATTTAAAATGTTTGTCTAACTGATATGTTATCTTTTCATTGACTTCTGTAACACAATGAGCACAATATCTTAAGGTACTGTAAAGTCTTTACAATTGGGAAGAAAATTTTAATACATCATCACTGAAATATTAACATTACAGTACTACTTAGTGCAAGTGAAATGAAAACAAAAGATATCTGATTGATTATGAAATAGCTACAAAGAAATGTTACCTACACAAAATCCACACAAAATGTGTACTTACACTGTATACAGTAAAAAGGAAATAAGGAATGTACAGACACCCACTGTATGTAACTACAGTACTCTCTATATACAGGCAAAAAGAAGAAAAAGCAAGTCAAAAACAAGCTTGTGACCTATTGGACCGTTACCCAATTCCCAAAAGAAGGTGCTGCTCTGTTTTAAATTGAAATATCTCTATTTCCAGCAGAGGCTTAATTAAAGTTCACTGAGTAAGCCATGACTGCAAGTGAATTCTTCATTTAGAGGAGAAGAGGTTTTTCTGAAAGAAATGCTGTTTTTAAGTAATGAAAGAGCAAAGGCCAGACTCCAATACTTCTGCTACCTTTCCTTTTTAATTCGGGGGACCTTTAGTGCTTTAATTAATATGCTCTAGATTGAAGTTCAGTATGTTTTCCAAGGGCCAGGCTATTAGAAGTCATCTGCCAGGCATCTCCAAACACCCCATAACCACACACAAGTGGCCTGTCAGGAGAGCTAATGCAGACATCGCAGTGCACACCACATTTGTCACTGCGGCTGATGTCAGAGATTCACTGCTCCCTCTTCCCTACACGCAGAAGCAAGATATGTAATTCAATGCTCAATTTACCCTTGTCTCGCAGGAGATTTTTGCCTGCTAATTGATAGAAATTAAGCCATTAATCAAGCCACTAGCTATCATTCAAGCCAGGGAAGATGAATACAAACTTTCATAATAACCACCTTCCCCATTTTAGTGCTCATTAGCATTAATTTTTAATGCAATTATGCTATTCTTTTACGCTGAGCTCATAAATTACCACTCTTTTGTTGCTGGCTGGCCTTGTAAAATCCAAAGTAATGCTTTGTAGTCTGATCTTTAAGGCAATTACTGGCTTCTTCAGTCTTTTATCTCTCTGCATTTTCAATAACCTTTTTATCTAATGATTTATTCCTTCATCCCTGTGTTATGTTTTTTTTTACCCCTTTATTGCATTTCCGTTCTAAATAAAGATCCTTTATCTTTCTGATATATATTTGTACACCCTCAATATTTCTATAACACACTAACAAAATAAACTCTTTGGCCATCAAAGCATTATTTTGCCCAATCTTAGATATTTTCAAACCCCTCATCATCACTTTTTATCACTTTAGCAAAAGTGTACTCAATTCTTTAATTATGTTAAATGCTGTATAAACTAGAGAACCATTTTACTTGTATTTACTCATCCTTTCCTAATCAAGCCTTGGTTTAACACTCAATACTCTTTTGTAAATAATACAACATGTTTTGTTTTGTTCAGTATTACAAACAACATTTTTTCAGTTTTTTTCCAGTAAACTACAGCTGACAGAACAGTTATACATACAAAAGCATTTTCTGTTTTTCTAAATCAAAGATCAAACGCTTTTTTAATTCTGTTCTGCAGACTGTTTTCAATGGGAAAACCTTCTCAAGGAAATGTCTGGGATTAGGTGGGGTTGTTTCAGATCCAGTCAACATTTTTTTTACCTGCCAAAAGAGCTGTTTATTGGTCCCTAACCACTCCCAGCGAGCCTCGGATATGGTATGAAATTTGTTTTTTGGACAGAGCTGACCTGTAAGGTTATTTTATGCAAGTATAGATGTTAAAAGTGAACAACACATGTAATGGATTCCTGCCAACAAGCTCGGCTTCTGCTCTGTTATTTTTGATTCAATATTTTTTTTCCTGGAATG